CTTATCACCATGTTGTCTAATTCGATAATGAGAGCAACTTGAGAGAGCTGTTCAAAATTAAAGCTATAGCGTACCAAAAAATTAAATGGGAGCGCATTAGAAAAAAGGATGTCTACCAATACCGCAGATGTCAACGGGTGGGCTACGCCAGTAAGAACTGCTGCCTGAATTATCGATGTGTAAAATGTGCTCTTACACATGAATCGGGAAAATGCCACCTTAACAATGATACTGATAAGACGGACCTGAAATGTGCAAACTGTGGGCAAAAAGGGCATCCAACTAGCTATAGGGGTTGCCCCTATCTTAAGTTTGCGACCTCGCAAAGAAAAGTAGTTAATAATACCAGATCAACGAGGACAGCTCGGAAGATAGATGTCATTTCCTCCCTGGTTCGTGAAAATCGCTCATTTGCACAGGCTGCCAAGGCCGAGCATCAACGCGGTCAGAGACAGGACTCGAACTTGACTATGAGGGACGGACGTAATCAGCTTTATCCTCATCGACTTGTTTGGGAAGAGATGAATAATAATACTACCTAGCAGAATTCTACGCTGCACAACAATGAATAACTGGGACATGGTTAGCAATAAGTCGTTCGTTATCTGATTTCTTATCTAACAACGAGCAATCATCGCTTACATTCAGTATTTTAGAAGGGCTCCAACAAAGAACCGTTGACTCCTCAATATTGTTTAACATATATACTTGTGAGTTATTAAACCTGTCTGATCTAAATAAACTTGGCAGCTCTACTAAAGCGACAGGGTTTGCCGATGACATTATAGTTTATACAGAGGATCGAAGAGCACTCGTAGTAAAACAAAATCTTGAAGATATTGTCAATAAAATTAACAAATATTACTCTGCGTGGAACCTCAGGTTGAACCCAGGGAAGTGTGAAACAATTTTATTCCGCAAACCGGTGCATTATATAACTTCCAAGTGGAAAATTGGATATAGTGATTTTCAAATTAGCACAACAATACCTGGCTTACAAACAGTGGTCGCTGTACCTCACAAAAAAATAGTTAAATACCTCGGATTCAATATCGATTATCTTCTGCGGGGCAATGTCCACTGCAATAATTAAAGACCGGTCTGCATTTCAAGCAAACGGTCGCATTTTCCGTAACCGCTCCCTTTCAAGAAAAACTAGAGTAATCTTATACATGTTACTTATTCGTTCAATTCTTACGTATTGCCGCTCCTGTGTGCTGGAATAAATCACAACCTTGCAGAAAAGCTGAGAGAATTTGAACGAAAATGTCTTCGTGCTTGCCTGGGCTTATACCGAACGCGATATACTAACTGAAAACAATTCGTCAGTAATAAAATCGTATACGATACAGCGGATATACCACGTATAGACAACTTCATTTTGAAATTATCTAGTCACAAAAAATAAGCGATATATTTAAGGTGGTCAAGTTAGGTGGAATACCCTGTATGTGCTTCTCGTCCCAGTATGTTGGAATTTGAACCATACTATGGCTGAAAAATTAAGAGAGTTTGAAAGGAAATGCCTTCGCGCTTGCTTGGGCTTGTATAGATCCCAACATTCGGATTGGAAGCAATTTGTCAACAACCAAATCTTATATGACGCAGCGGATATTCCGCGCATTGATAATTTCATCCTGAAGCTATCCAGAGATTATTTTAGCAGGCTTAAGTATAGCAATAATATTGCCATCCGTGGCCTTGGATCTTTTGACATAAGTCCATCAATAAATCTAAGCGAACTGAATTATCTGGTCCCCCAATCCTTTTTATATTGGAACCAAGAAGGCCTAACCTAGAAGTCACAAAATATTCCGATCTTCTATCATTGGAGGAGGAATAAAGCTGATAGGCTGACTCTCTATTGGAAAGTGATAAACTTAAATTTTCTATGCCCATCCCTGCTAGAGATCCCCCAGATTTTCATAGGCTAAACTTCAGGAAGTATTGGTGACTCCCTATTAATAAGCCTATTGTCACCAACCTCAAGGCGCGGAGAACCGCATTGTCAATTTTCGCCGCGCTTATTGTAACGAAATAGATGAGGAGAGCTATTAGCTGATATTTCAGTTTTTTTTTTTCATTCCCTAGTTATAACTACAATAGTAGTTTATTTTTGTTGTAACCTAGTTTAAGTTTAGTTTTAAGTCTTTTGTACATATTTTGTTTTCTTCCTTCTTTTGTTATTGTAAGAGGGTTTTTTCTCTCAATTGGTTTTTCCCCCCCATCCGCAGACAAGCTCTTGGCTCTGCCCTTGGCAGTATACCCTTAGATAATCTCAAGCGTAAGCTATAAGTATTCTTTGTATTTTTTTTTATTATCTCTGAGACCTCTCGCATAGGGGCATGAGATACTAACTTGCGAATAGAGGCATGCTTTATTAATGTTTTGTTGCAGCCGCATTAAATGTATATCTATAAATTAGTAATAAAAACATTTTTATAAAAAAAAGTAGAGCATGAGACTCCGGATAATTACACTGTTTTCTGTAATAGTGTTGAGGCATATGAACGAATTAAGTGTGCTCTTAGTGAAGCAGGAGTACAATTTTATACCTTGACCCCGAAGCATATGAAGCCCAAATCTCTATTATTGAAGGGTATCAAGGGAGATTTCACCACTGATGATATTAAAAAAGAATTTGAAGATCTGGCTCCGGCACATGTTAAAATTTTAAATGTATCGAAATTCATTTAAAAAAAAAATCCGGAAACTTATCACCATGTTGTCTAATTCGATAATGAGAGCAACTTGAGAGAGCTGTTCAAAATTAAAGCTATAGCGTACCAAAAAATTAAATGGGAGCGCATTAGAAAAAAGGATGTCTACCAATACCGCAGATGTCAACGGGTGGGCTACGCCAGTAAGAACTGCTGCCTGAATTATCGATGTGTAAAATGTGCTCTTACACATGAATCGGGAAAATGCCACCTTAACAATGATACTGATAAGACGGACCTGAAATGTGCAAACTGTGGGCAAAAAGGGCATCCAACTAGCTATAGGGGTTGCCCCTATCTTAAGTTTGCGACCTCGCAAAGAAAAGTAGTTAATAATACCAGATCAACGAGGACAGCTCGGAAGATAGATGTCATTTCCTCCCTGGTTCGTGAAAATCGCTCATTTGCACAGGCTGCCAAGGCCGAGCATCAACGCGGTCAGAGACAGGACTCGAACTTGACTATGAGGGACGGACGTAATCAGCTTTATCCTCATCGACTTGTTTGGGAAGAGATGAATAATAATACTACCTAGCAGAATTCTACGCTGCACAACAATGAATAACTGGGACATGGTTAGCAATAAGTCGTTCGTTATCTGATTTCTTATCTAACAACGAGCAATCATCGCTTACATTCAGTATTTTAGAAGGGCTCCAACAAAGAACCGTTGACTCCTCAATATTGTTTAACATATATACTTGTGAGTTATTAAACCTGTCTGATCTAAATAAACTTGGCAGCTCTACTAAAGCGACAGGGTTTGCCGATGACATTATAGTTTATACAGAGGATCGAAGAGCACTCG